GAGAGAGAGAGAGAGAGAGAGAGAGAGAGAGAGAGAGAGAGAGAGAGAGATTACTTTGAATTTTTAAATGGAATTTATTATTTTTTTATTGTATATCCTTCTCTTTTTGAGAACTTTTTAAAACAATATTTTATCCATTTTGAGTCAATTAAGGTTTTTATGATAAAATGTTGGATTGTAGTTTTATTTAAGATAAAAAAAGTGGAAATACCACTATCGTATTACATCTATGTAAAAAGGGATAGTATGTGATGTATGGACACAATTGGGTCTTATCAAGCCCAAGTCGAATTTTTTTAGATAGATGGAGTTCCTTATTTTTTGTTGCAAATCATATTCAGGGTAATTTTTCTGTCTGTTTATATTAAGCTCTGTTTATGTTTAGATTTTGGGCCTAGGGTTCAATTTGGCTCCACTCAAACCCAAATAAATTTTCTTGAATAGTAATCTTCATTTTTTATCATAAATTCGTGTTTGAGATGACTTGTTTTTTTTAACAACGTACATTAGACAAAGTACATTCGGGTCCGGGATCCGGTTTCGGCTTAGTCGGTCTCTACTTAACTTTTCCAATAAGAGTCTCCACTCTTTATTGGAAATTCAGATTCCATATCTTTCATTTCAAAAGTCCTTCTTTTTAGAAGTTGATTACATTACACAACTTGACACATTTATTCTAGTCAAGCTGTTGATGTATATAATAAATATTGGTCTTAGTCATATTTTCAATTCAACTCACATCATATTTTTGCAAAATATTGTCATTCCAAATCTTGCCTTCATTGGCTGAATTAACCACCGATCTTGCTTTTGTTGACTGGACATCTTACCATCAAAATCTCGGTAACTTCGAGACAGCTGACCCAAAATGGATAAATTTATAGTGCATTAAAAAGATCTCAAGATGGACTATAAGAATATAGAATAAAAAATAAAGAGGGTTTCATTTAAAAAATTCAAAATGACTTTGCTCTGATCTTGGCGACGCCACTCAAGGTGATACTGATAAAATAAGTAGATATTTTTAAATCCTATAACTTTTATCTGAAAGATTTTTTATAAAATTTACATTTTTTCGAGATATTCTAAGATTCCGATCTTTTTTATATACATTTTGTGTAACTAACTGTAACAGCTAGTTGTAATAGCTAACGTAACTAACTGAAGTCAAAGGCTAATAGCTAGCTAGTAGAGGCTAGATTAAATTTATAAACTTGTTACTAGCTGATTATTCTAGCTGAAATATAGAATTGGATCATCTAATGGTCTAGTAGTTGTCTAGCTATTATTTGTCAAATATAATACAATAGACGACGTAGTCTATTCTAAAATATAATTCCTATTTTAATGAGAATAACTGAATATGTTGGAAATTAGAGAACATAAGAAAAATTGTTTCAGGCAGAAATTATAGGATTTGGAGGAGAAAAAAGATGGAGAAAACACTTATATTTTCTTAAAAAGCTCTGTGTCAAGATTAATTTTAATTTTTTTTATGAAATCATATAGTTTATTTTTATGATATAAATTATTATTAATACAGTCAGTATTCATATAATATATAAATCATATAATTTATTCATTTAATATAAATCGGTTTCTCTGGTTATTCTACGTATAAAAGTACTAAGTAAAATCATCTAAAAGTGAATACTTTTTGAGATATTTTATCCTTATACTTTTCAATACAAAACACGAAACATTTCTTGAAGTATAATTACTTTTCGATAATTTCATCTTAAGAAGCTACATACATCCGAGCGGGATAATAATTATTTACAATACCCACGACTTCCCCGATTTCAACGACGTTGAAATATGTTGAAGAGATAAAGTTCATAACTGTTTCTAAATAATAAGTAAAGGTCATTGTTTGTTAAAAATTATTAATAAAAAAGTTTCATAAATTGAACATAGTTTTTGCTGAAATATAGTAAACAGTACACAAAAATAAAATACATATATAGGGTGATTTATAAATGTAGGTCAATACTTTAGGAGATAAATCAACACACTAAAATAAATAAAAAAGGTCATATGTCCTACATACCTTAGTTTTCAAGTCATAAATGATTAAAGGAAATGTTCAAAGTATTCGCCTCGTGCATCAACACACGCTACTGTCCTGCTTAAAATATTTGATAGAAAATGATTGGATAAGATTGAAATGGATAGAATTCCTATATTGATTTATACGACTTATCATGCACCGAAGCCGTACAATATAGACTTTCTATATATTTTAATCATATTTTATGATACTATTCTTTTCAATCATCTTGAATATTGATGTTTGTATAATAAATTGATATTTCTTAATCATAGTAAATATCATTATGTATTTATGCATTATGTATTTATTATTATTTTATAATAAACTACTTATAATATTCTTTCATAATAATTCTATCTATAATAATGGTTACAAAATGGTCAGATAAAAATGAGAAGAATATCTATGTTTAGTTTGATCATATCTTATGATACTACTCTTTTCCATCATGTTGAATATGAAAGTTAGTTTAATCAGTTTATATTTATCAATCATCGATAATACATGGTATATGAATTTATTTACGAAATTTCGTAAATGAGTTGTGAAGTGTGTGAATCAAAATCATCATAAAATATGATAGACAAATTTTCTATCATTTTCTATCCAACATTTTAAGCAGGGTGTACAGCTTAACACGTCTCGACCTTGTCTAATGTTTACAAACAATATACATCAATACAAATCGGACAGAATTTCAGATATAAGTATCTTATCCTCGCGAGTTACTGTGTGTGTGTGTGTGTGTTGTTCTGAAGTTATTGTTCTGAATATAGTTCTAAAAGCGGCAAAATGGTTATGTACACTTATGCTGAAATGGCCGACATGCATGTCTGAAATTCTGTCCAATTTGTATTAATGGATATTGTTTGTAAACATTAGACAAGGTCGAGACGTGCTAAGCTGTACAATAGCGTGTGTTGATGCACGAGGCGAACACTTTGAACATTTTCTTTAATCATTCATAACTTGAAAACTAAGGTATATAAGACATATGTTTATATGACCTTTTTTTACTTATTTTAGTGTGTAGAGTTACTTCCTAAAATATTGACATACATTTATGAATCACCCTGTATACGTGGGAAGGTGCCCCCTTGCATTCTTTTCCCAAAAAACAAGCCTAATCTAACTTATCCTTTTTATCTAATATTTTTATTTTCTTTTTTCATATCTTTTGTATTCTTATATTTCTTATATATCTTTTGTATTCTTATATTTCTTATATTTCTCATTGAGAAACTATGTACAAAGTGTAAAGGATGGGTTAGGTTAGTATTTTTGAGGGAAGGATCGGCGGAGCTCCCCCCAATGCACATACTATATTTCAGTACCATATTTCATATCGTTTCTTACCATATTTCAATGTACATTGTGTGCAAAAATTACGTTTCCTTTATAAAACAGTTATTAATAACTTTTTAATAAACAATGAGCGACCTTTACTTTTTATTTACAAATATTTATGAACCTTTCTCTACAACATATTTTAACGTTGTTGAAATTGGAGAGATCGTTGATATTGTAAATAATATATAATATAATCTAATTATTATATCGTCAACATATTAAAATTAAGATTACATTAATTTCATAAAAATCTCAAAGAAAGCAGAATTGAGCGTTACATTACTAGCAACTATTTATAATTTTTCACCTCATGACTGTAAATTTGTTTATTTAATTATGAGCTAACTTAGTTATCTAGCTACTAGGAGAAATGATAGTCACATTACTGGCTAGTAGTAATGTTAGACACAAATTTGCTATCTCGTGGCGTCGACGACACTAACGAGATGCAATTTCTACTAAGGTTCCTGTCAAATATCATTATCCCAACTTCGTAATAAATTAAAACACAATAAAATTCCTGTCAGTTCTTGAGAAGAATGTGGCCAAAAATTTTGTAAATTTTAATTTGTTTAGGAAAAAAACATTTATGAATTTACATCAAGATTTGTATAATTTATTCCCTTATTTCCGCGCGAGCTGTGTTTTATGTATAAAAGTATCTTTAAATTACACGACCTATTACATTCGGTATTGCACTCAACGATTCAACGATTGTTGTAACAAATGAGCAACGGATAATAACAACGAATGTGCGAATAGTAATAGCAACAACTACGTAAATAATTCTCTCCCTTCACTTTGTCAGGAAGGATACGTTGAGAGATGGGAAATTCTTTTGTTCGGTTGGAAACACATAGCA